TGGAGACTACATAGTTTAGTATTTTTATGGATGGTTTTGTATGTGTGTTTACAAAAATCTCGTGACATTTACTTAACCGTTTGCTTCTGCCCCAGTCTCATTCAGATACAAGCAATATAGTGGTCAGAGGGTGAGACTAGGCCTTAAGATCTAAATACAAACCTCACTCAGCCAAGAAGATAACTGGGTGATCTTGGGTCTCTCATCTTGACCCATCTCTCACAGTTTTTGTGGAAGTGAGTTGAGGGAGGAAAAGCAGGATACAAATGTATCAAACAAATAGCCAGGCTCCTTGAAGACACTGTTTCCAGGGAGATGGTGAACAGCAGCTTTTGAGAAGGCAAAGGATTAAAGCCTTCTTCCTCCAAACCATAATCTAGATTAGAGGTCCCCAACCGCTGGTCCGTGGCCCAGTACCAGTCCGTGGCCTTGGCAGGACAGGTACTGGGCCACGGACAGATCTGCCCCCCGCATGTACAGACACATGCCCCCATGCACACATGCCCACATGCATGCACAGAAGCACACACAGATGCCCCCACATGCAAATGTACTCCCACACGCATACATGCATGCACAGAGGGCCCCCCAGCACACACGCTAAACCGGTCCATGGTGTCAAAAAGATTGGGGACCACTGATCTAGATCAGTGGTTCTTAACGTGGGCAATAATGCCCCCCAGGGGGCAATTTCATTTTTCAGGGGGGCAGTAGAATGAAAAGGGGCGGTGTGGGGGCGAAAGAACAGAAGGGGGTGGTAGGGGGCCGCTGGAGCAAGCCAAACCTGTGAAGGCAACTGCAGCCGCAGTAGATCCGGTGCTGCCACTGCCACCAGATGATCCAGCTCTTTCTACATGCCACGTCTCGCCTTTCTCCTTTAGGGGAGCATTGAGTGTGGATCAGGTGGAAGGAAAGTGTCTCTTGGGTCCTCATCCTCACCCCGTGAAGCGCTGCCTCGCACCCGGGTGGGGAGGGAGACTAGGTAGGTAGGTAGGTAGGTAGGTAGGTAGGTAGGTAGGTAGGTAGGTAGGTAGGTAGGTAGGTAGGTAGGTAGGTAGGTAGGTAGGTAGGTAAGATATCACCTCAGGGAGGGGGGCAATGATAACTTCCTCAATGGCTCAAGGGGGTGTTTCTTTCAAAAAGGTTAAGAACCACTGATCTAGGTCATCCCCAACCCTATTTTTCTGCCACGATCATAAACACAATATGAAAGAAAGACAGGCCAAATCAGGATTGTACAAGTCACACAATGAGCCTTATAAGGTGGTGTGTGAAGAATTATTTCTAGTCTGTGGCTCCCTTCAAATGTGCCAGGTTCCGCCATTGAGAACGGCTGAGCTAGAAAATAGTGCCTCTTCCCCCTTGCTGCACTATCCATTATGAAACCTTGCAAAGCTAAACAAGATTAAGAACCTATCAACTTTTACAATTATTCATATGGATGACCGAAGTTGTTATTGAAATTCAGAAAAAAAATTGTGACGTATCAATTGTTTTGGTTACTTTTCATCATTTTAAAAACCACCATAACAAGAAAGCCTGACTCCAAGGTCTGTAGAGCTTTATAGTATACCACTGGTTCTTAACCTTTGTTACTCAGATGTTTTTGGACTGCAATTCCCAGAAGCCTTCACCATCAGCTCTGCTGGCTGAGGTTTCTGGGAGTTGCAGTTCAAAAACACCTGAGTAACAAAGGTTAAGAACCACTGCTTTATACAATGGTGCCTCAACTTATGAACGTCCCTACTTATGACCATTTCGAGTTACGACCAGCTCCAGCTGCAAATTTTGGCTTCTGCTTGCGTCTGGAGCTTTCACTTATGAACAGAAAAAGGCAGGGAAAAAAGGTGGGAAATTTATAACTGTAGATGGTGACGAGGCTACTTCTTTGTAGCTCTTTTGCCTCAGCAGTTAGAGAGTGTGCAGGCTTGGGTCTGCCTCCCATTTCTGATGGGTCGGGGGTTTGGTTGCTTTCTGGGTTTTTTCCCCTTTTCCGATGGGTCTTGGGGGTTTGTTTGTTTGTTGGCTTCCCCCCATTTCTGCTGGGTCTTGGGGAGTTTGGCTGCTTTTGGGTTTTCCCCCCCATTTCTGATGGGTCGTGCATGCTTCCCTTGCTTTTTCCTTTGTTTTCTTTGCATTTCCGACCTGCCCCCTTTGTTCTCTGTGCATTTCCGATCTGCTCTGTTTGTTTTCTGTGCATTTCCAGTGGGTCTTGCACACTTCATTGCTTTTCTTTTCTTTTTTCCCCTTTAGCCGGAAGGAATTAATCGTATTTCCAATGAGTCTTGCAGTGATTTTTTTGGTGATTTTTTTTCTTCGGCCAGAACGGATTATTTGCATTTCAGTGCATTTCTATGGGAAATGGTGCTTTGACTTATGACCATTTCAAATTACGTCCATCTTCTGGAATGGATTATGGTCATAAGTCAAGGCATCACTGTAGTTCATAACCAGTTCTTTGAACTGGGCTCAGAAATGTTCTAGTAGCCACAGGAACTGTTGCAATGGGGGTGTTATGTGTTTTTTACCCAGTTGTGTTTCTTGAAATCAGGAGTAAAACTGAGTAAGGACTTATCAGAGCACAGGTCCCTATACTAGTTGGAATTGTATGGTTCAGTTCTTGAAGGTAGGTTTCTGGAAGAACAAGAGTAGCTATGAGCATATGTAAAATTTTAGTTATGTATTTATTTATTTAAAATATTTTTAACCCAACTTTCTCCTTGAAAAGGACCCAAGGCAGCTTACAGACAATGAAAGACAGTATTTAAAGTTACAATGGTGGTTAAGATCATTAAAAGACAATCTTTAAAACTGAGAACAATGAATAAGGAGGCATTGTACAACATTAACAGGCAATATTAAGGCAGTACTGAGTCATCACAACCAGTAGCAATTCTCTCAAGCAAGGGCTCTCGTTCTGGAGGCTGTAATTCCCACCTAACTAGGAGGGTCAGTACTTCTCAGTTAAGCACTGCTTGAAATGAAGGCAGCAGAGGAGGGAAAGAGACAAAACAAGAACATGCTAACAAGAGACACCCTCCCCACTTTCTTCCTGTCAGGCTTCTCTTCTATCTGGTTCCTAGAAAATGTTGCTGGCTCTGTTTTGGAAATCGTTGTATACCTTCTAGAATCTAGAGGATTTGGAATTTACACTGCTTCCGACAATTGTCTCAGCAATGTTTACAACAGAATGCGGGACATACCCCTGGGCTAGGTTGGATGGAAATTGTAATCTAGCAGTGTCTGGAGGGCCATGTGTTCTCCATCCCTGCTTTAAAACAGGAAAGTACATTTGTAGTTCTTTTAAAATAGCACATTTAGTACTGCTGTTTCTTTAAAACATTAAGATGAGTGATATGCTACTCCCTCAGAAAGAATTTTACTTTAACCTGAGAATCTCCTGCCTTTCTTCCAAATAAAATCAGGTCTCATGCCATTATGTGAGCAATAGTAAATTAAAATTAACCGCAAGGCAGTCATAGATAGAGATAACAAATATAAACAATGGCTGAAATCCAGCAATAAGCCATAACTAGAGTAGGCCCATTGAATCAGTAGTTATATGGTGAGTCAACTTATGCAAAAGTTCTGTTGATTCCACAGGCGTACTCTAGTTGTAACTTCCTGCTAGGTTTCAGGTTTTATATGGTTTAGCCAGAATACGCTTGTATTGCAGACGAGAGGTGCTTGCTTCAGAAATGTCTCTCCTGAAGGCATAAGTTCATCCCTAATTTTATTTGCCTTTCTCCAGTGCAGTGGTTCCCAACCTTGGGTACCTCAGGTGTTCTTGGACTGCAGTTCCCAGAAGCCTTCACCACCAGCTGTGCTGGCTGGGATTTCTGGGAGTTGCAGTCCACAAACATCTGCTTCACCCAAGGTCGGGAGCCAGGGCTCGGGCCGGTCTGTTGCCGATACCTCTCGCGCTGTACGTCCTCGCATTCTCTCTGCTCTTTGCTCGGCGAAGTCGTTTCGCTCGTCCTCTAGGTGTCGCTGCAGAGCCGTGTGGCCGGCGTGGAGATTGGATGGTTAATCGTGCAGGATAAGTGCAATAAGGAACTGAGGAATTGCACGGTGGTGGTTGGGATTTTCTCAACAACCGGCAGTTTCAATTCCTCACCGTACTACTCTATGGACGTGTTCAAGCTCGGGTTCATTTAAGTGATCCAGACGGGGCCCCCACTGTTACTCGGATCAAAGATGCGCTTCCCTCTTTCTTGCAAGCAAGCGGGGCTCGAAGCTACAGCCACAACCTCGGGGAGACGAGTGAGTAGTACCAGCCTCGGCGGAAGGACGAGCTGTCCTCCAGATCGCTTTTTCTACTCCCGTAAGTGGCTGCAGTCTTTGTTTGGATTTATGATTGAACGAAAGGTATATAATACCTTACACTATTTCAGTTTCTTCATTGTAAATATTCAAGTTGTGTAGTTCTTCTGTAGTCATGATTTTGGTCTTCTTAATTACAGTCCTAATTTGGCACTTTCTTCTTTCATTTTCACTAAAAGTCATTTTAAGTGAATGTTGTTTTCTGCCAGTAAGATGACATCATCTGTGTATCTTAAATGTATCTTAAATTTTCACTCCTCCTTCATCTGAATCTAGTCTGGCTTTCCACATGATATGTTCTGTGTACAGACTGAACAGATAAGGAGATAAAGGCACTCTTGTCTGACACCTTTGCATATAGGAAACCATTCCTGTAGGCATTCTTTCTCTCCATATTCTGTCCTAACAGTAACTTCTTGTCCAAAATACAGGTTTGGACAATCAAGAACCGAGGCACACCCATTTCTTTCAGAACAATCCATGGTTTCTCATGATCAACATAGGCAAAGGCTTTGCTGTAGTCTATCTTCTTTTGAAATTCTTTGTGTGCTCCACTCGCCAGAGGATATTTGCAATATGATCTTGAGTGCCTCTTCCTTTTTGGAATCCAGCTAGAACATCAGCGCAGCAGACGCCTTTCCCTCGGGCAGCTCCGGCTGGGGCCCTCGCCCGTTTGCTGGCCACCTGCTTGCCTGCCGGCTGGCGACCAAAGGAACCGCTGCCATCTCTGGTCCGTACAAACCGCCAGATGTCAACGGACGGACTCTGTTGCCTGCCACCCGTCCGTCAAGCTTAGATCTGCGGCGTCCAACCAGGGCAGCTCCTGTTGCTTTGGTGCAAATCAGACATCTGGGCTTGGCCCCGGCCTTGTGAAGTCACGGAGAGGTGGCCACTAGCCGTTGTTCTCTGCTCGCCCCTTTTAGCAGACAGGAGAGACTGGCAGCGGGAGAGACGCCGCTGCTACACGACGCTGGCTAAAGCTGTCGCTTTACATTCCATACGGGAGACGTAGGGAAACGCGGGTTTGATATATACTGATTTAAACTTGCTCCTACCTAACCCTGAAGGCAGTCTTCTTTTCTAAATGAGTCTGAAAAAGACGCAGGGCTAAAGGTAGGCTGGGGCAATAACCATTGTACGTATCTTAGGGACTTGTTTTCAGGGTTACTCCACTGCTCAAGCTGTACCACTTAGATACTGTATAGGTCGATCGCCCAGTTATTATGTACTTTTAAAAGAAGACTGACTCCAATGCTTGTTCTTTAAAAAATCACTTTTCCGTTTAGAAACTAGTGATAAGTTGATCCTTACACACACACACTGAATATTCAACACAATAAGTCAGCCTGTAGTACTGTATTATGATAGATCAATTAAGAGTCAGGAATGCTGATTCCCTTGATGGGTAAACTGTTTGCCTGAGTGGACTGCTGTTCATATCCTGATGAATTTATCAACTTTGTTTGATGTACTTCAGTGAAATACAAAAAGAATGTGTTTTAGTCTCAGGAAATTACAAATTACAATACCTATGCTGTTATGTTTAAATAGAACAGCACAGATTTTCAAATATTTGAATAATCCAAGCAAATTCCTTAATTACAGTAATTAATCAACCATCTAATACTTAAAGCAAGCAAACTCAGTGGCTTATTTCTTGCTTTCACTTTGACATCAGTAGAATTGTCAAGAGACATTTCTCAATTCATGCAGGGAGCATGGTAAAATGCTAATGCTGTCAGATTAGCCTTTACTGATTTCACTTTATTAAAGGTTGCTCTGTTGAGGCAACAGTTAAGGAGATGCAGCAGTCCATTTAAAGAGTACTGCCTATTTGAGGAAGTAGATTTCCTAACCCTCAAGTATACTTCTGATTAAAAGCAAACAAAAGGTTTGCCATGGTTTCCATAAGCAGCAGGTATTGGGGCCTGTTCCTCCATTCAAAGATGTTTGACAGCTGAATGTTGATGCTCAAAATAATCCCCACCCCTCTATCTCATCTATGTGGATTAGGCTCCAAAATGGTAATGCTTCAAGTGGTTGCTGAAGCCCAGTCCTCCTCCCATCCAGGACTTTCCCATATTTCAGCATAAAGTCCTAAGCCAGTGAAGTTGTGCAGCTTGATCAAGGGGACTTCTGGAAAGTGACTATTTTACATGTGTAAGATGCTATCTGGAATGTCAAAAGGAAAAGATTGTGAAGCTGTTAGTCTGGCAAGACCCTGCCCCTTACCTGCATCCCTGAAGAGCTGAAAACTTTTTTTTTGAGAAAGGATTGTACTCCTTTACATGCTTGTTTGCGAATGTCTCATTCAATTTAATGTTATTTACTTCCAAGTAAGTGTGTGCTGGTCAGCTTATTCATTGAAGCTTCCTATGCAGTGTGCTTACAGGTTTCATAAATTAGATCTCTGTGTTGACATGTCCTATGTCAAAGGTTGCCCAGTCATTGCTGATATATGCAAATCTATAGAAAATTAAAATATTACAAATGAAGTTTGAGTCTTTCTGCTTGATCTGAAGTTGCTTGGGAACCACTACTGAAGTGTTTCACACATGACTGACTGTATTTGGACTTTTGGGCAGAATCACGTTAAGCTTCCAGTACTTTGTCAGCCTTCTTACACGCTTAACTTTTTCACAACAACTGGAAATTGCTGCTGACAATCCACAAGATTAGCATTATGTAACCCTTTATTTAAATATTTTCCTAGAGCATGCTTGGAGAGAGTTCAGCTAAAAAAATGTACAGGGGATGGTATAAGATAGTAGCAGTGTGGGTTGCTGTATAAAGGCTGAGTAATGTTGAGTTAGCTCTGGAGCATCTGTTTAAATTCCATAGCTCTTTACTTCTCTGTGCAAGGAAAATCCAATAGTGCATGAGTTTTTTTAATAATCAGTGCATAAAAATGTATTAAAATGGAGCAACAACCAGGCTATTGAGAGGAAAGAGGTTGTAAACGGATAACTTGACATAGTTCTTTTACACTAGATTTGCAATCTCTGCTTAGCTTTGTCAAGAGCCTACTTTCAATAATAATAGTAGTTACCTCAGGTTATATTTATTTGGACTTGGTCTTTTTCCTTCTTCTCCAATCACCAAATTTTTAAAACATTTACACTGCATAAGAGTTCTGGAGGATTTGGAAGCTTACCTTGTTTGTAGGTCACTGTGTCTGTGTGACTCAACAAACTATAATGGAAATTAAACTGATGTGTCACCTTTAAAGACTCAGTTATGATCCACTTCCTCAGACATAAAGTACAGTATTTCAGCTACAAGTTTATATACATGATTTTAAGGGTAGTGGGGATGGGGACCAATTAAATGAGACAAAGGCATGGATAATGAACTTTCAAAATAACAATAGCATAATTAATAATTAAAGTGTTGATTATGTAAGCATCCTGGCAGTAGCTAATCTGCTAATGCAAATTGTGTGTTGGCTGTTGTCTTTGAAATATCGGTAGAATAACTTTTGCTCCCAGGAAACAGTTGTACTAAGGCCAGACTTTTTTTTTTTTTAACCCAACTTTTTGACTGTAGAAAAAAGTAGCATACAAAGAAGGAGGAAGTGGGGGAAGCTACAATATCTATTGAAGCCTCTAGATGCATACTGAACTTTATGGATGTAACCCACTTAATGTGTTTCCCTCGAACTTCCTTTGTAATTTAGTTTTCCTGCAGTAGCCACTTTGAAATAAGTACCAGTGTCCTGGAAGTTTTCAGTGTCCTAGCTCCTGATGCTCACTTCTGTTTATTGAGATTCCAGATTTTTATTCATTTACTCTATTCAATAAAGATTGTCTTGTTTGTCCAGTGTAGAGCATAGAAAGGCACTGATGGCAGAGGACAGAATACATTGGATTAAAAGATGTACAAGTAAATTAGCCCTGACATTGTGTGTGACATTGTGGGCTAGTACCTGGTATGCTCTTAGACACATATCTAAGAATATGAAATGTGTATGAGAATCTATGAGGGATAGTTGAGCCATGGCAGTAATTAGAGATGGGCACAAAGTGCCATTTGAACCAGTGTCTGTCAGTCCAACAGATCTTCTGTGGTTCTGAACTCCGCCTCCTCCGTCTGGTACTGCCTCGGAGGCAGTGCCCCGGCTTCCCTGCCCTACCTCCTCTGGACACTGCCTCTGAGTTGGTGCCTGCCAGAGGAGGGGAAGCTTAGAATCGCAGAACACCTGTTGGACTGACAGACAAACCTGCACAAACAGACAAACTGGCAGTTTGTGCCCATATCTATTAGTAATGTGTCTTAACACAACCAGGCTCACTGAATGACATTTTCTTGGACACATAAAAATCAAAATAAACACAATGCTTGCATTAGGAGTAGCGGGGAGCACAACAGAGTTTTATGAGTAGCAAACAATAAGTAAATAAACTAGATATTAAAATATATTTGCTTCAGGCATATTACTTGCAAGGGTGAAGGATCTTAAGATCCACAGTACTGTTGTACAACTTGGATAAACTATAGAAGGCTGGATTCAGATTCTAGAAGATAGCCCCAAACCCTTGCTAAAGGTCCAGTAAATCCGATGGCGGCTGCTATGTAGAGAATTACTCCTCAAATATAGATTCTGAGGTGACAGACATACGTTACCTGTCCTTCTTTTTGTCACTTAAAATGATCTGTAACACTCGTTGGAGCAGTGCAATGAAAAACAAATTTTGGGCACAGGTAATAACAGAAAACAGATTAAGAAAGATCCTAGTACAGAAGCAGAGCCAGCATCCTGTTCCGTTATGTGATCAAATGCTTCCCATTGCATGGCCAGTTTCACACTGATTTTGAGATTGGCTGTGCATACAGTTGCATGATGGGGGGGACTGCAAGATCCACGGGAATGCTCTTGCACTTCCTGTTATGTTCTAAATAGGATACTGGCTTCCAAGAGAAGATTAGCAAGTTTTTCGGGCCACATTCTGCAGGTTTAGAGTGTGTGACTCCCTACTAGGCCTGGTCTCAGGGAGATTCAGCTGTTTAGGGAATTTAGCTTAAAAGAAAGCCTGGAACTGATCCAACAGTGCTTCAGCAGGAGGCATCCAAGAGGAAAAGGCAGGTGGCATCAGGCAGAGATGAATACAGCAAGCACCCCAGACCCATATTAAATATATGGCAGTCTTAGACTTTTGGATAGTTTCTCTGTCTCTTAACATCTTCACAATAAGTCATTCTTCCCTTTCTCATCTAGCTCCAATCTGTTTATATCATTGCACAGATGGACCTTCTTTCTTGCTGATCCTATTTGCTCAGGACTCAGGAAAGTACCAAAGGGCAGTACAGTAGTGTGATTCATAGGTTCACTGTTTTTTGGGAGAGATACTAGAATCATATTTTGCTGGACAAAAGGATTGAGTATTCCAGGCTGATTGCTCTCAAGACCTCTAGGAGATGTTATGGGCACAGCAAAAGAAAGCTGGAAGTGATTTTTTACATGACAGTACAGTGGTGCCTTGCATTACGACCTTAATTCGTTCCAGCGAAATTGCTGTAGAACGGAAACGTCGTAATGTGAAAAGAAACAATCCATTGAAACGCATTAAAACCCATTTAAGCATTCCAAAGGGCTGTAAACTCACCGTCCAGCGAACATCCTCCATAGGGCGGTCATTTTTGCTGCCTGTGCAGCGAGGAATCCGTCCCAGAAAACAGCGGGGGGCCATTTTGTTTACCTGGTGGCCATTTTGAAACCGCCAATCAGCTGTTGGAAAATCGTCGTTTTGCGAAGAATCGATTCCCGAAGCAGGGAACCGATCATCGCAAAGCGAAATTCCCCCATAGGAAACATCGTTTTGTGATCACAAAAAGTTCATCGTAATGCGGTTTCGTCGTTAAACGGGGCAATCGTTTAACGTAAAGCAAGGCACCACTGTAGATATTGCCTGTCAGAGGCAACTCTTTGCTTTTGCCCACTGATTGCACCTCCTTGCATGTTAGGAGCAGGCTGCATTGAATAGGATTGTTTAAAGATTTATTCCTTATCATGTTGTCTTGCCACTGAGGTTCATAACAGAGGGTCTTATTTTTCCAGTTACCTCATCCTTTTCTGGGACACTGCAGCATATGCACAAGCCCCTTCTTCCAGTTTT